TGTTTTAACATATATGAAATGTATAGCTACATATATATAAAACAAGATATATAAGAATTTCTATAATAATTTGTGTATCTTATCTACATTTGACTTTTAAACTAAAAATTAACTTTCTTAAACTATTATTTTTACAAAAGAAATTTTAAGTTACCAATAAAAATGTAAACCTATGGCACAATTAGCTTCTGAAATTCAAATTTTTACTTTAAGTTACAAATAAATATACTTTCATAGCAAGCAGATTTAATACTCAATTTTTCTGATAATATAACCAATTTGTTATCTTACACTAAGATAGTAAATAGGTATACATACATAAAGATTATAGCAAATAGGTATACATATGTAGAGATTAAGACTTACCTGAAGTGTTCAAGTGATGAGGTATATAAGCACAGTAAAATAAATAAAATGAAACAGGGAGAAGAAAAAAAAAAAAAAAGAGGTGGGTGGAGGAATTTCACTCCAGACCAATCACAACAGGAAACAAGGCTCACAGACAACTCTTAAGGGCATTTGTTTCTAAGAGCAATGCTGGAACATGAGCCAAAATTGTTAATAGAACACCTCACTAATCTGAGCAGTCTCAGTTTTATCACGCTTCCTCAGCAAATGTGGTCCCTCACAATCACTTGAAATAGTCTTGCAAACTTTTTTTAAATCTTCCAGACTCATAGGTTCTTAGAAACTGGATTTCTACTTTTGATGACATTTCCAGTGTATCATCCATAAATTTGCTATGGCATACATTAATGACTTGATATTTAACATTGTTTTGTTTTGTTTTGGTAAGAGACAGATCTCCCTATGTTGCCCAGGTAGCAGGAACTCCTGGACTCAAGGCATCCTTCTATCTCCTTAGCCTCCAGGGAAGCTGAGACAAGTGACCTTTACTTTAGCACTTTACCAACCACTAGTTTTTATTGTCCTTTTGTTATTTAATATGCATAAGCTGAGGTGGGCATAGTGCATTCCTATAATCTAATCTACTCAGGAGGCAAAGATCAGGACTATTGCAGTTTGAGGCTAACCCAAGGAAAAAGTTAGTGAGACCGCCTCTCAACAAACAACATGGGCATGGTGGCACAGACCTGTAAAGAAACACTGGCAGGAGGACTGCTGGTCCAAGGCTAGCCCTAGGCAAAATCCCTAGACCCTATCTGAAAAATAATTAAAGCAAAACTCTGAGAGTGTGGTTCAAGTGGTAGAGTATCTGCCTAGCAAGTGCAAGACCCTGAGTTCAAACCTCAGAACCAACAAAAAACAAATAAATAAATAATAATCTGTCTTCCAAATTAAATATAAATAATTATTGATTATGGACCCCAAGTGCTATATAATCATACTTCAATTACCTTAAATACATTTTTGAGTTGAATAATTTAAAATTGTTTTTAAGAGTAAGACATTTTCATTTTCTTTTGAAATACTTTCAGATTGACATATTACAAATAATTCCTATAAAGCTGCTGGAGTGACTCAAGTGGTAGAGCACTGCCTAGCAAGCCTTAAGGACCTGAATTCAAATCCTAATACCACAGAAAAAAATTCCTGCATACTTTTAACTCAGATTTCCCAAATGTTAACATTTTATTACATTATTTATGAGGCAACCAGCAGGTACTTACTTATTTATGAACATGTCAAAGTCTACACTCTATACAATGAATAGTATATTCATTTAGTGTCTTTTTTTTGGAGACAGGGTCTTGCTACCTAGCAGAGACTAATACCTCCCCCAACCAGTGCTGGGATTATAGGCATGACACCATGCCTGGTTTTAGTATATTTATCCATAATGAGGTTAATAAAAAGCACTTTAGAGCTGGGCCCTGGTGGCTCACACCTGTAATCCTAGCTACCCAGGAAGCAGAGATCAGAAGAATCACAGTTTGAAGTCAACCCTGTGTAAACTGTTTGTGAGACCCTATCTCAAAAAAACCCATCACAAAAACATGTTGGTGGAGTGGCTCAAGGTGAATGCCCTGAGTTCAAACCCCAGCACTGCAAAAAAAGAAAAAAAAAAGGTACTTTATGTATTTATGCTTACTGTAGAAATAAGAACTAATATAAAATCCTTTATTATCTCTAAAAGGTCAGTCAGTTTGCTTGTTTTATTTCCACTCCAAACAGAAACACAGTTCAACCCTGGGAGGTTACAGCCTGAATAACTGGATTAGAAATGCAGAACTTCAGGTAGGCCAATGGCAAACAGGGCAGGGTGGTAGTACAGGTATAGCACTCTTGAGTATAACTGTGATTATGTTTGCTTTGCTTGTTCCCCCTAGACTGTGATCTCTTATCAGTCTTCCATGTACCTAGCATGCAATGGGTACTAGTTCAGTCTCTTTGTCTACTTATATTTTTACTTTTTTATTTTTAGGCAATACTTGAGTTTGATCTCAAGGCCTTGTGCTTGCTAGGCAGGTGCTCTACCACTTAAGGCCATGCCCCCAGTTTGTGCTTTTTCAGATACAGTCTTCTAATTTTGCCCTGACTGGCCTCAAATCACAATCTGCTTGATCCCTGCCTCCTGAATAGCTGGGTTTATAGGTATAAGCCACTGTGCCTGGCTCTCAATTATTTATTAAATGTTCACGATCTACCAGACTTGTAAGGCTCTAAGACAGGGCTGCCTTTGTGGGTATGCAAGTAATGCAGTCAGTCATACAGGGTCACCATATTTATATATGAATATGCTGTCACCGTATTAAAATTCTTAACTATGCATGAGTGTGCACAGTTAAATAGATAGGTAGGTAGGTAGATAGACAGATAGATAGATAGATTGTGTGTATGTGTGTATGTGTAGTGCAGGGGATCAAACTCAAGGCCGCACATTCTAGGCAAGTGCTGTATCACTGAGCTAAACCCCTATCCAACAATGTTACATTTAAACTTGTGTTTTGTCTAAGTGAAGTCTGTTAGGTCAGTGAAACATGAGCAGGACCCGAGGAGAGAGGTGCAGTGTATGGGTCTTCCTATGGGTGCCACCCCATTCATATTAGGTGACTGTAATGCTCCATTAGCACAGAATGCTATTGGATCTACAAGGTGTGGAAGCTCATGAAGACTCGTTGTCAGGAGCTGATGGCTCATGCCTGTAATCTACCTACTGAAGAGGCAGAGATCAGGAGACTTGTGGTTCAAGGCCAGCTTGGGCAAATAGTTTGAGAGACCCTATCTTGAAAACACCCAACACAATAAAGGGTGGTGGAGTGGCTCAAGTGGTAGAGCCTTTGCCTAGCAAATGTGAGGTCCTGAGTTCAAACCCCAGTACTGTCAAAAAAAAAAAACCAAAAAAGACCCAGTGTTGCCAGATTCCATAGAATGTTGATAGAATGTACATGTATCAAGAAGTAAAATTCTTTAAAAAAAAAGAAATAAAATAAAAACTTATGGATTTAGAGTTTGAGACCAGCTGGAGCAAAAGATAATGAAACCCAATCTCAAAAACAAAATAAAAACAAAAGGGCTGGGGACTTAGCTCAAGTGGTATAGTGCTTGCCTAACATACAGGAGGCACTGGTCCAATCCCCAGTACTGCGGGAAAAAGAAGTAAAATAAAAACAGGTGAGTTAGTTGTGTACTGCATTTCCACTGTTATAGCAAGAACAAAATACATATGCTTGTATGAGCTATGAAATACTGGGACATGAATACTGTGACATTTCAGTGATTATGCATACAAGCTAAATGTCCTTATACCTGTATTTAAAACTAGTATTACATAATATAAAGAAAATGGTAAAGTAATGATAATAATTTTAGTTTTTCTTTACTAGAAAAGGCATTAAAGTAGTACTTCTTTTGGGGGGGGGGACTGGAGTTTGAACTCAGGACTTTGCACTTGCAAAGCAAGTGCTCTACCACTTGAGCTACACCTCCAGCCCATTTTGAAGATGGAGTCTCGCAAACTATTTGCCCAGGCTGGCTTTTAACGTCAATCCTCCTGATTTCAGCCTCCCAAGTAGCTATGATTAGGTGTTGAGCCACTGGCACCAGTCTAAAATAGCAAATTTTAAAACACCAGAACACATCAGAGCAGTTCCATAGGTGAAGGAGCTTATATTTTAGTACGTTTCTGGGGGGACAAGACCTCACTATAGGGCAGCTTTGATCCTCCTCAGCCTCCCAAGTGCTGGGACTATAGGTACCCGCCATCACACCTGGCTATTTTAGTACCTGTAATGACACTTCTCCCCTTCTTTTCCATTGTCATTTCGCATTGGACCTTACAAATCACATGGCTGGGCCTGCAGGCAAGCGTTCCTGCTTGTGACTAGTGTGAATGTGACAGCGGGACACGCGATGACGTCCTAGAGCTGACAGTGATTGCAGAGTGAATGGAATGCCCTGGGCTGTCCGGATCAGACTTTTTGTCCTGGAATTGTTCAGTATTTGAAGCAAAGAGCCCATATTTCTTTCAATGTCTGTCCTATTCTAAAATGACATTCGCTATTAAACTAAGAATAGACAATAAACTAAGAATTTCCTGCTTAATTGTACAAGAGGCTTCAAGGGCAAAACAAACCAGTTTATTCCTGCATTAAAAAAAACCAAACTGCTTTTTTTCGGGGGGTGGGGGAACCGACCTAAACTAAGGTAGTGTAAAACTTACACTGTAACCCAGAAGCCTCAGGGAGGGCTGGCTGGGCTCCGGCCGTCCTGGAACGTAGGAGCTCCACCTAACACGGACTGCGTGAGGGCGCCGCGCACACTCCAGAAGGCCGGCCTGGCACAGGCAGGGGCCCGGCTCCGTCAGGCTCACCTGACCCAAACATGACTGCCAACTGCACTTACCGCATCGGCTAGAAGAGCCCACGGCCCCAGAACGGCCTCCTCTGCTCAGTCAACTCCGCCCCCTCTGGCGGGGGCTTAGACTCCGCCCCTCATCGCTCCTCCCCTTCCGCCTCCTCTCTCCTCCCCCTTCCCGAAAGCTGAGTAGTCTCGCGAGATTTCGGGGGACGTCTTAACTGGGTGGCAGGTGCTGCGCGTGGTTTTCTTCCGCGCGGTCTGAGGAGATTGGCGGCTGCGTGCGCGATGGCGAGCTGAGGTGGGTGCGGCCTGGTTCCGACCTCCGCGGGCTCAGGAAGCAGGTCAGCCAGCTGCCGCTACCGAGGGTGCGCCTGGGGGTTCCCGTCTGGGGAGGACGAGGCGGGGCACCGGGACTGCGGGCTCCGGGGCACTAGGGGTGAGCTGAGCCCCCGTGGCGCGATGGCGGTGCGGGCGTGACTCATTGTGCCGCCCAGGTGGTAAATGTCTTAGGTCTTACGTTGATTTTCAGGCACCATTATCGACGCCGTATTCCTTCCAAGAGGGTAGGTGCTTAAGGGAGGCTTTTGCCCAAGGTAGTACTTGATAGCTCCGGGAAGGTGTCACTTCTGGACACGTGGCCTGTAAAAACCTCAGAATTCCAGAAGAGGGTTTGAGCTAGTTCAAGGTGTATTTGTCATATGCCTTTAAAAAGAAATGTAGCCACAGCTATTCCATTAGTGCTAACGGACCAAATGTTAGGGGTTTTTTGGCGGCACTAGGGTTTGAACTCAGGGACTCATGCTTGCTGGCAGGCGCTCTACCACTTGAGCCACTCACTAGGCCTTTATTGTGATAAAGATCTTGCCAGCTGTTTTCCCGGGCTGGCCTCTAACCGTGAGCCTCCTGATCTCTGCCTCCTGAGAAGCTAGGGTTATAGGCGTGAACAGTTGGTGTCTCATAACTTTGAGAATTTTGCCTTTAAAAAAAAATAATAAAATGCCCAATGTTAAAATTGTTAAGTGACCATGTCGTCTTCCTGTATTTGGGATATTTTGTCATTTTCCAACTTGTTAGGACTTCAATGTAAATTTTCAATTACGTTAAAGAATAAACCATTACAAACACAAAGACCTAGGGAGATGCAATAGTGAAATAGTGACCATTAGCTTTAAAAAACTTGGATTGCAGTGGGAGGGGGGAGGGCGAATATGGCGGATGTATTTTATATTCATGTTAGAAAGTAGAACAATGAAAGCTGAAATTGTTTTAAGAAGGGGAGAAGTGGGATGAGAGAATGATGGAGGGGTGAATGTAATTAAGATAATACTGTAAGCACATTTGTAAATGTCACAGTGGCTCCCCCCACAGCTGTTACATGCACTGCATTGGGTACAAGGTGGAGACAGAAAACATCAGTATGATTAGTTTGTGGAAAAGTTATGAGCTCAGTTTCTGTCAGTAACAGCAAAGATGTAATATGACACAATTCCATACCAGAAATTTTAAAGTGCATTGGATGGATATTCAAACCTAAGGATATTTCCTGGTATACAGCAGGTCCATTGTGCCTGTAAGTTTTTCCTTGGAGTTCCCCTACCTTGGAAAATAGCTTTTTGGCCACATTATCGTATTATCAGTAATTGTACATTACATTATGGCTGGTGATAAAATCTTTTGTACTCAGATACATTTCTTGGAAATACAGGACTTGGATTGAATACATTTAGAGAACAAAAATGGAAAGAACTTGTGAATGGAAATTCATCTGAAGTGGCCTAGGAAATGATTTTGGCCCTTGTACATTACATTATGGCTGGTGATAAAATCTTTTGTACTCAGATACATTTCTTGGAAATACAGGACTTGGATTGAATACATTTAGAGAACAAAAATGGAAAGAACTTGTGAATGGAAATTCATCTGAAGTGGCCTAGGAAATGATTTTGGCCCTGATTCACATAGTCATTTGATCTGCCTTTGCTGACCTTGACCTTGAATATTAGATGTGTTCAGTACTACTGGTATGCTTCAGCATTTACTTATTGAAGCTACATCATGTACACTGTGTTTTCCTAATTTCAGAAAGCTTCAAGGGTAAAGAGCAAGTGATGGTTAAATCAGAAATGGATTCTCTTGACTACATGTCATCTGATAGAGCTGTGGAAATGGAAAACCAAAGGTAAATAGACATTTACAAGGACTGACTAGCTCAGTCAACATTTACTGTATTTGATTATTAGGGAAAGTACATAATTGTATATGATTGGTGGTAAGGAATTGGGAAAGAAAATAGTGGGTAACACTGGCCTTTCTAAGTTTAATTATGTCGTTTAGTTATGACAAACAGTTTAATTCAAAGTCTGAATATATTATAGAGGAACACATTTTTAGCTTAGGGAATCAACACATTTTCTTGGTTATCTCTTCCTGACTTAAGCTTCGCCATTTACTGTGCTGTTGAGAAGATACTAGACAACTTTTAGGGAGGTTGTATTCCATAAAATAGTCTTTGTGGAGGGAGGAGGAGCAGTACTGGTAATTGACCTCAGGGCCTGGCAGTTGCTAGGCAGGCGGTCTACCACTTGATTGAACCACAGGCCCTTTCCTCCTGTTTTGCTTTCACTGGAGCTGGCAGGTGCATGCCCCCAAGGTTTTAATGGTTGAAATGGAGTCTCACTGAACTGCAGATGCTCCCAGTCTCCACCTCTTGAGTAACTAGGATTACAGACATGAGCCACTACATCTGGATAATTGCTGTGTTCATTTTGGTTATGGTCAGTACACAGTGGCTGGTTGGTTCTCAGCCCGTTGTTCTAAAATTATTTATTCTAGGCATGTGTTAATGAATTGGTCTTAGAACTATAGACGTGGGATTGAGTGATCATTCAATAAAAAACTTTTGTTTTTCTAGTGACAGCTCTTCATCTGGTAGCAGCTTATTTAAAACACAATGTATTCCTTCCTCACCTAAACGGAGACAAAGAAATTCCCTTAGAAAATTTGATCATTCACCTGAAAGTCTTCATACAGATTCATCAAGTGACTCATCTTTAGAACCAAGACCATTGACTTTAAAAGCTATTTTTGAAAGATTCAAGAACAAGAAATGTAAAAAGAGGAAATACAACAGACAAAATAGAGGAAAATTAAGACAAAGAGGAAGACCAAAAGGAAGTAGAAGCACTAGAAGGTCATCACAAATAGATTTGAAACAAATTAAAGACAAAGGAACCAGATTCCCATTTTTACAGTGTGAAAATGGAAGAAAACCATTACCATGGAGGAAAATTTTAACCTTTGAGGTGAGTCAATATTTATTTATTTTTATATATATATATGGCTAGATTTCACATAGGTAAAACGTCTGAGGTCATGGACGTTTAAAGAATTGGCTTAAGATACATGTGGGACGTAATCTACAGTTTTGAGACTACTTTTTCTATATTGTTTTTCATGTAAAGCTCACTCAGCCCTTCAGCTCAAACTTCATTTGGGTGTCTGGGTGAAATATGAATTTAAAAAGTAGTACTCCAAGTTTGTTTATATCTAAGACCCCTAACCTCATCCTGTTTTTTTTTTCCCCTTTTCAGTACTGGGGTCTGAATTCAAAGCCTCACACTTGCTAGGCAGGTGCTCTACCACTTGAGCCACTCAGCCTTTTTGTGTGTGTTGGGTATTTTTGAGATAGGGTCTCCGTGAGTTATTTGACCCTCCTGGATCCAGGATTGCAGGTGTGAGCCACTGGTGCCTAGCCCTGAAGTATCTCAAGTCATTCATGTTCAGCAGATAACTTTTTGATAAAGTTTGGATGTTTTTAGCAGTTCCTTGATAAGTAACCTAATTACATTAAGGTTGGCCAAATATCTCAAGCAGTAAATGTTGAATTAGTGTATAGTTATTATAGTTTTCTTGACAGAAACTAACTTTGTTTCAGAGGATTAGTACTTGAAAACCCTTGAAGCTTAAGGTGATTATAGCAAACCATTGATATGCTGTCATCCAGAACTCTAGAGTGGTTAAGTCAAAATTCAGGTGTAAGGATATGTTCACCTTTTGTTGAAAAGCATCTGCTGATTTTTCAAACAAAACTTTAATTTTGTTAAGACTAAGGCATAAAAGTGTTTTTAATAGCAAGCTGTTGCAAGAGGATTTTTTAACCACATCGAGAAACTGAAGTATGAATACCACCTCAAGGAATCCCTGAAACAAATGAATGTTGGTGAAGATTTAGAAAAAGAAGATCTTGATAGCCGTAGTCATAAATATTTGGATGATGATGGATCCATTTCTCCTATTGAAGAGTCAGCGTAAGTTGAATCACGTAAGAACACTGGTCATTGGTTTTTGTCTAATATAAACTTTACTGTGTATTGCCATCCGTGTTTCTGATACATAGATATAGGCAAGTTAGAACTATACTTGAACCTGAGCTCTGGGCATAAGACATCCATTTTAGGTGTTAAACAGAATACTATGTTTTTTTGTTGACTAGTATTCGTGTTACAGTTGTATGTTGACAGTGTCTAACTAGGTCAGAAGATTTGTCATTTAAAATACACATTTCCATGTTACAGAGCAGAAGATGAGATGGCACATCCTGAATATGATGAATGTGATATCAAATTGGTAGTAAGTGACTTACTCTCATTCGAGGAAGGTAGGAATTGTTGGTACAGGAGGAATTAACATTCAGTAGTTTTAAGTTTTAGTCCACTTAAAATTTGAAACACTGAATAAATTTAATGCAGGAAATGTAAGAATACACATGCTATTTTTTCAGTAGTTGCTAATACGGGCTTTTTCCTGGGGAGCAATCCAAAGGCCTTAAGCATACTAAGCAAGCACTTCACCCTGAGCTATCCCAGCCCCCAATTTTATTTATTTATTTATGGTATGGGGAGGTTTCAACTCAGGGCCTTCATGCTTGCAAAGAAGGTGCTCTACTGCTCGAGCTACAAATCCAAACCATTTTGCTCTGGTCATTTTGGAGATGGGGTCTCACCTGCATGGGCAGAACTCTCAGTCCTCTGGATCAGTGTCTCACGTAGCTAGGATTATAGGCATGAGCCATGGGTGGTTGGCATCCCTAAATACTTGTAATGAATATTGCAATGTGTAGTGTTTTTAAACCCTGAAATGAAAAAATATGTAGATGTTAACTTGGGAGTTTTTAAACCTAGGTATAATTTACAGTTCCAAGTAATTAGTATAGTTATTTAGCTTATTTGTTTTTATATTGTTGTATTGGGGACATTGTGACATTTACAGAAGTTCATAGAGTATATCATAGTTGAATTCACACCTCCTAGCTTAGTTATTAATGGTGTTTTTGTGTGTGTGTGTGTGTGTATATGTAGGAGGACAGTTGTTTCATAATAAGTTCTGAATTCCCAAAGAAGATGAAGGTATATTTAGAACAAGAGAATGACGTTACAATGTCTAAGAGAACTTCTAAGGCTAAAAATACTGGACAGAGGACAGAGTGGCCTGAAAAGGAGACAATGTGAATATCAAGCAACATGCAGTGAAAGTGACTTCATAAGAAGAAATGATCAAAGGTTAATACCACCCTGGGGATGAAGAAGTTTTAAACCAAGAACATCCTAAGAAGAATGAGAACCATCTGAAGAAGATGGTGAAAACAACTAAAGAATCATAAACTTTAAAACAATAGGAAAAAGCTGAGACATTGCTTCTTAAATAATAGTCTGGCTGTTTTGTCAGTGCTTATTGATTTCAGTGTAAGAAACTTAACAGGTTTTACTAAACCATTGAAACAACGAAGAGATTTTAATCCTGAAAAGAAAATGCTAGTTAAACATGACTGACATCCAGCCAAGTTCTTCTGGTTTGTTTTTTCATATTTCAATTTCTATTTTTGGCAGTATTGGGGTTTGGACAGTGTTTGGAGCTTGCTAGGTAGGCACACTATTGATTAAGCTGGGCCTCCAGCTCACTTTGTTTCTTAAATGAGACAAGGTTTGCTATGTAGCCCAGGCTGGTCCTGGCCTCATGATCTTTCTTGCCTTAGTCTCCTGAATGCTGGGATTATATGTGTATGTGCCACGATGTCCAACCTCTACCAGCATCCTATTATACCAACCTTTTTCAGATGAAAGTAACATTACTGTAGTAAGAATTGAATTTTGGCTGGGAATGTAGTGTGGTGAATTACAAGATCCTGAATTTCAAGGTCCTGAACTTAATCCCCAGCAGCATAAAAAATCATCTTAGCTTGTTTCAGTCACCATTTTTCTTACTGTGATCATCATTGTGTAGCTGATTAAGGTTAAATGTGAATGAGTAGTGCACGGTTAGCACTTGGGTGTGTTTTTGTTTAACTTCTGGACAAAGACTCAGGTGCAAAAAATAAATCCTCTTTAGCAACCCAGAACTCGTGGTTCAGTATGAGTTTTGATACACACAAGAAGGTATAAGGATACCTAACAGTTTAAAGTGATGGCCATTAAGGTTGACTTAAAGAATAAAGTGTAGGATAGGAAAATAACTTTCAGTTGTGTTCAGTCACCATTCTTGTTGTGATGCATGAAAACTTCTCAAGGCTTCTAATTGAGACTTGAGGTCTGAAGCTGAAGACATCTTACTGTGAGTGGATCATGCTTGTCTAGATGTCTAGAGTAAGTACACAAGTCTCCAAGTTTCATTTTATAAGACTTAGAGCTTTAATTTCCAATTACATTTCCAAAAAGCAATCAGATATGTAGTTATGTAGTATCAGGTTCATTTTACTTGAAAGGATTTGTAAGTAGAGCTTTTGAGTTTCCGTTATCTGGAATTATATACATTTACATAATTTAATGTATGATTAATTATCATACATTTATCTGGAATTAATGTCAGGTGAGCTAGGGGATTTAAATTAAATACATTAAGATAAATCTGGTAAAAATTAAGAATCATATTTTCTTAAGTGAGACTGGGGTTTGAACTCGGCCTTTTTGCTTACAGAGAAGGCATTCCACCTGAGCCACACCTTCAGTCCATTTTGATCTGGTTATTTCGGCAGTGGGGTCTCAAAAACCAGGGCTGGCCTCCCAAGTAACTAGGATTACAGGGCGTAACTGGCACCTTTCCTACCTGATTTAAGTTATAGCCACCTAAGTTACTAACATTTAAGTACTTTTCCATTTGTGAGGTGAAAATTCATCTCAGGTAAAACTGGTGATCTGGAGTGGAATATGGGAAACAGTGAAAGTGATATTTAAATCTTTAGTTCATCTGAAGTAGCTGGTTGATGGTATTTAAGTAGCCTACACTCTCGAAGAGCTTGATTAAAAAGAAAATACTTTGAGGTTTTTTTTGTCAGATATGGACAATGCTAAAAATTGAGCCCAGGGCCTCATGTGGCTAGACAAGTTTTCTACAAGATATAGAAATGATTTCATTTTTGTGATTAAAATAGATTTTCCTGTTCACGGCTATTCTTGCATAATTTTGCCAGAGCTTATCAGTTCTTGATAATTACTAATTTTTGTACTTAAATTTATTAAAAAATAAAATTGAGGTCTATCCCGATGGGGCTTCTGTACTATAGCCACACAATTGTTGGAAACCTCATACAGTAATTGTGTGGTTTTGCTTTACTCACAGGGCCATTTCTTAGGTCTGTGGGAAGTAACTACAAGACAGTTACAAAGTTTGAAAGAACTGCTAATATATATACATATATATGTTGTTTACCTTAGGTATTGGCAGAAATCCACATATCCTTAGTGTGTAATAGGTAAGTTTTTAGTTGGTGATTAATGGACAGTCTTTGAAAACACAGTTCAGATGATGAATTTGATTGTTCAACTGCTGAATGAAACAGACATGAATTAAAACTTCATTCTGACAGAGCTGGAGATAGCTATTAAGGTCAAAGAGTAAACTTAGGTTTTTTTTATAGTGAAGTATTTGAGTATCCTTCTAAGTCTTTGATTTGGCACTTTCTCTGTAGGAATGAATATGATGTGTAGGAATGAATATGATCTGAACTCATTGATGAAATGGGTAAGTGAGATAATTTCTAACTAACTTATCAAGGACTTTTTTTCTTGGTAGGAGGATTGAACTCAGGGAACACCCCTAAGTTCTAGGATTTGAAATTATAAGAATTACAAATTTGTAAGCACAGCATTCCAATACTGTTAAAAGTACATTATTTTAGGTATAAAATAAGAGCTCAGCAAAAATATTTGGTACCATATAGGACATACAGTAAGATAACTCAGGCTCAGTGTTGTGTCCCATACCTTCTCAACAGGAAGTGGAACAGGAGAATCAAGCGTTGAGGTCAGTCTGGGCTATATAAGAAGACCTTGTTTAAAATGTCAAGATTCTGACTAGTGTGCCTTTTATTTTATGGCTCTACTGGGATGAGAACCTATTGCCATATTGGGCAAGACCAAACTAAAGCTCTATAGTGATTTGGTTTAATTCGATGTGCATATTATGTGGAAACCAGATAAAGATGACTAGGATTATAGTTTGTATTTAGATACCATTCTTTTCAAGGGGTTACACATGTGGGTAACTGGAGTTTGAACTCAAGGCCTCATACACCTTCGAGGCAGGTGCTCTACCATTTCAGCAATCCCTTCAGCCCAGGATTATATATTGAAAAAGTTCTGTGGTTCCTTAGAATGACAATTTGGAAATAAGGGTCAAATTAAATTTCTCAGCTGCAGTGCAAACCTAAGAAGGTTGTTAAGTAGTCAAATGCACTGTGGTATCTTGCCACTCAGCAGTTTATTCCTGCTGGTGTGTTCAAAGGACAGTGCAATAGAAATTCAGTACATGGCATCGTTGGTTTTCTTGCCTTTGTGCATGTTAAACCTGGTATTTAATATTGACACATTATTTTCATGGTTTCTTGCTAGAGTTTAGGTTGATACAGCTATAAATAGTAAACGCTTTTTTTTATCTAGGGTGTCAGCACTTGAGATCCAGGAAGGTCCATCTACTCTAAAAAATGTAAGGCTTTCTGTGCTTCAGCTGCTTGTTTTCCTCCTGGCAGCGTAACAGAAGAACTTGGATAGAGATTCAGAAGTCTTTTGCATATTGCATGAATCCTCTTGAAAGGAATTTGCCTCATTCCAGATGAGAGGGGGCACTGCTGATTGGTGTCCTAGATTGTCAATGTGGCTAAATTGAGACACAGGTCATGCTTCCATCGACAGTAAATGCATTGCAGTGGTGACAATGAGATCTGTAACATTTTTGCTTAAGCGCATGGATGAAAAGATGCAATGAGAAAAATGTTACCTAGAAAAACTTGGTATTTATAAAGTGCTTTCTATAATTAATCTCTAGATGAATAATAAATTGCTTCAGGAAATTAAATCCCCAATCCTCAGGTAAGTATTTTTAACTTGTTACTTCAAAAGCAGTGTAGGTAGTTTTAATGTGTAAACCATTAATTATATGTGTAGTAAATTGCCACTGATAGGATGTTATGATGATAGGCAAAAATGTTCAACTGCTCTGAATTAAGCTGACTGATAATAGCCTTTCTGAACATCCATACACATGCAGAGCTCTAAGGAACTTAAAACATGCATGCATTAAAATTAGTATTCACTGGGCACTTATTTCCCCTCATACCCTA